ATTGGATGTGGTGGCACACGCCTGTAATCCCAGCACTTGGGAGACTGAAAACTGGAGAATCACTGCAAGTCCAATCTGTGTAGTGAGACCCTGGAGACCCTGTACTAAATACATATTTTTTTTAAAAAAAAGGATATTCTAGAAAAGTACACAATTTTTTAATTCTCTTTTTTGAGAAAAAAGAAAATTCATTAATATATTCAAAAATAAGTAACATACAGTGACTGCTTCCATTAGAATAAGAAGTCAGTTCTATGCTGGTTAGCACATGGGGTGTCTGTGCTGATTAGCTTGCACTACTCCGCCGTCTCCCACAGGGGAAGAAGGCAACAGTAATAATGAAATCAGAGGCTCATGCAGGATCTCGGTCTTGGTCACTTCTGTCCTTGCTGGGACAGAATACCTGACATCCACAACTTAAGGAAGGGAAAGTTCCTGTTAGCTCAGGTTTTAGCCCACTGTCATTGCATCCTGGCTCCAAAGCAGGTTCGTGTCACACAGGGCCTAGCAGAGGAAAGGTCCTCACGGCAGGGCAGACAGGAGGCAGAGTGTCAAGGCAAGAGCCGGGAAGGGACAGAGCATGATGCAGCCCTGTTCTGTGGGCCTTACCCGAGTCTTCCAGGCTTGTCTTGAGACATCGGTGTGAGGAGCGTCCCTCCCACCCTCCGACCCACAAGGCACAAGGTGAGGCCTTTCCTCACGACTCTGCCTTTCTGTCCTGAGGGAGACCTCCTGTCCGTCCTATCTGTCTGCCTCAGAGCGTCTTCCAACTCATCATCTCAGTTCCTATCTACTCTTTCAGACACAGCTTCCAGAAGGTTCTCTCGCTCCTGCTCGCCTGTTAATGGCTTTCTCATTGTCCCAACCCGTGATATCCGGAAACAATATTGCTCCAGCTGGCCCAGATTCATATGGAAATACTACTTCCTGTAACAGCCAACAACCTGAGAAAAGCACACAGGATTCTTCAAACTCGCGGCGTCCCACATTTCTGCCTGTCCTGACCACGCACCGCTAAGCCCTTCGACTCCAACGCGGACCCTGTCAGCGCATCCCTCTGTGATCCACATTGGTTCTCAACTTAGACGTAGCCTTCACAGCCTTGCTGGCAGATTTCACTTCTCTCACCCAAATTCCATGCACGAAGCATGTCATTAGCCTTAAAAATAAG